CTAGAACAGCTTCCACCGCACTGTGAATCAGTCTAGAACAGCTTCCATCATACTATGCAACAGTCTAGAACAGCTTCCATCACACTGTGGAACAGTCTAGAACAGCTTCCATCACACTATGAAAGTGTCCTCAGTCTCTCCTCTTGTTTTATGCTCCTTGGTCTTTCCAAAGTTTCTATAAACACACTCTCATTTCCTTTGTGTTCTCTATGCCCCTCTGGTGCCCCCATAAGCTCTTCTTATTTGTTTAGCTTGTTCTATGGCAAATTCCCATTCTTATTTTTCTGGTTCTTCCATTGATTGCCCAATTTCTCCAATAAGACCCTGAGAGAGAGGAAAATGTGGAGAACAGAAATACAACCGATGCTAGCTTTTGTAAAGGGCGGTAAGGGGAGGGCGGGGGACAGCACAAATATACATGGATTGATAGACTGATCGGTTTTGTCTCTATTAAGACTTAGAATCAAAATTTTCTATTTATTCAATATGTGTCTGTATTTTATTCTAGAAACATATCTCACCATGGGAACCACTAGAGTTTCTCTCTCGCCTTCCCTCTCTCCTTTCTCTCCTGTCTACTCCCCTTTCTCCTGCTGCTGTCCAGGATTGAACTTGGGGCCTTGTGCCATCTAGGCAGGTATTCTACTACTGGGCTCTATCCTCAGCCCAGCACCCCATTTTCAAAGCAGACAATAGAGGCTCTAAAGTTAAATCATTTGCCCAAAGCTGAGCTATGAAACACAAGGCCAAGTGTCAAAGGCCTGAGTAACCAAAAGCTCAGGCCTCTGTTCATCTGGATCACGTAACTCGACTCCAGCTGATGTTTGACTGTTACATAACCACAGGGCTGGCTCGTCACAGGTTTCCTGCCAGCCAGGACACCTATAAGTCTCTGTTACATAATCTCTCTTGGGTCAGAAAGAGATTCAGGATGTCCTGGATAGTGAACTCATAATGGCCTTTCTCTTCCTTCAACCTCAGACAGAATCTACAAGTGGAAAATTCCAGGAATGTGTTGATTTAGGAAGTGAAGCCTAATTTGCTTTCCAAAAATAAATAAATAAATACATTAAAAAAAAAACACAACCCTACCAAACCAAACAAAAATCAAAATACCACCCGAAAACCAAACCAAATGAAACAAAGTAAGCAAGCAAACAAAGTTAGCCAAGGACAAGGTCACCCTATCATTGTCTTTCCGTTTGTCAGGTATAATGGGCAGGACCATTTGGCACTGAAATGGGCGCCTCACTGCAGCATCTGAAGGGGAAGTCCCGAGGGCTGGAGGGCTGGAGGAAAAGCAGCCGCCTCTCCTGTCTGGCTCACGCTGTTTGGGGCTTCAGGAAGGGCATGCGGCTTAAAAACAACCACCACAAACCCCACAGTTTTGTTTTTTAAAATATAATTACGGAAGTAGTGCAATAGAGCCCGGGGGAAATTACTCACTAACAGTGCCCGAGACAATGGCTATTCTGACAGTCATTGTCTATCTGCTCGGATCATTGTTTTGTGGGCCTGACGTTTTGTTAGGTCCCCAACTGGACCCCAGATATTGAAATCTATAGTGTTTGAGTCCTTGTTTGGCCTGTAGAATCTACCCTGTCCAAAACCAGGGCTCCATTCTGGGGTCTGGGAATTTCCTCTGTTCTCTTTCCACCAGGCATGCTGGCGAGACTTCCTGATGACAGGAAGTTTTCTCCCAAGTCCCATTGTGCTGTCTGTGACTTGGTATAACAGGCGCGGCTGTTGATGGCTACTCTCTTCTCACCCCTTTCCCACTCCCATTTTGCTGTGTGGCTTCCAGGAGCTGTTCCAGTCAGCAAAACACTGCAGTAGGCAGAAAGCATTTCTCTCAGGAGTGGTTCCAGTAGGTGGAGTACGTCTGTAGGCTCGGCCACTGGAATGTCAGCAGCCATGATTTATTCTGAGTCTGGACCGAAGCGTCTCCAAGATCGCAGAGCTGGCTTCTCCGTTTCTCGCTTTCCCATCTCCTGCCGTAAGAACCGGAAGTACCACAGTGTGGCTGTTCCTTCTACCTGAGTCCCGGAGGGAGCCAAGCAGCTAACTCGAGTGCAAGAAATAAGCTTTAAAAAACAAAACAAAACAAAACCTAGGCACTGGAGAGGTGGCTCATTGGTTGACAGCACTTGCTGTCCTTGTGGAGGATCCAGGTTGGAATTCCATACACTGTCTTTGGTTCCAGGGCGTCTGACACCCTCTTCTGGCCACTGTGGATACTGCACCCGGGCGCTGCACATGTTTAAGATAAAACACCACATGCATAAAATAAAAATAATCAAAAATTAAAGTTATATGTAATTATTAATTTCTCTCTCTCTCTCTCTCTCTCTCTCTCTCTCTCTCTCTCTGTGTGTGTGTGTGTGTGTGTGTGTGTGTGTGAAGACAACTTGAGGGAGCTGTTTTTTTCTCCTTTCCCGATTTGAGCCTCTGGGGTGGAACTCAGGTCAATAGACTTGGCGCTAAGTGCCTTCACTCACTGGTCCTTTCTTCTGAGTTCTAAAGTAGGCATAAATGCAGCTCAGGGCCGAGGTGATGCTTGCCACACCTGGTCACACTGATGGAGTCCATCTGCCTGGGATGTCACGAGGGACGGCCACAGGATGGAAAGAAGAGCTCCCACGAGGACCTGGACATTCCGCTGCTCCTCTCTCGCCTCTCCTGGCGTTTGTGACTCTGTTCTCTGCTCACTACCCGAGCCTTCTCCCTGGCTGAAGAGGCTGAGGTCCTTCGAGGCTGTCGGCAGGTACAATGAACAGTAAAGACCTTGGGTGGGTCTGACTTGGAATGGACTTCTGTCCCTAATCGCTCTGTCCAGAGGGGAATTCCAGGAAGAAGTGGAGGCAGGGTTCTTGCCAGAATCAGGCTGCAAATGTGTGTGTGTGTGTGTGTGTGTGTGTGTGTGTGTGTGTGTGTATGTGTGTGTGTGGCGGGGGTAGGGGGCATTCCTGTAACACAGCTCACCGGTACTCTCTAGCTGGCCCAATAAACTCATTGGTTCTCCAGAGTGCACTTTGGTGGAATGGTACCTCAGTTTGTCACTGGACCCTTAGAAGGAGGGATGGGTGCTGTTTACATTTTCCCCAGGGAGAGAATTTTTGCCATCGAGGGACCACAGCCACCTTCCAAATCCTCTTGTTGCTCTGGCTTATATCAGGGGCTGTTTACCTCACGGCGAGGGTACCTGCTCAGACCTGCAGGGCAGGCTTTCCACGGTGGACAGCTGGTCACCAGTGATCTATGCCGTCCCAGTCACGGGTCCTGAGGAGAGGCTCCCCTTCCTGGGGAATTCCTCTTGGCCTCATGTCCACTGCCTAAAGATCTATGATTCTGCTGGGAGCTTTCCTACTTTCCGTACGTCATAGTAACTGCTTTGTTAGAGTGTTGATGACTTAACTTTTTAAGTTTAAACTTTATTTATTGTGTGTGTACGTGTGTGTGTGTGTGTGTGTGTGTGTGTGTGTACATGTGTGCATGCTCATGTGTCACAGAGGGCACTTGGAGGTCAGAAGACAACTTGCCGTAGTTGATTCTCTCCTTCCACCATGCGTTTCCTGGTGATTGAACTCAGGTGTCAGGGTTGGAGGCCAGCATCTGAGTCTTTCTGTTTCTTTTCTTTTCTTTTCTTTTCTTTTCTTTTCTTTTCTTTTCTTTTCTTT